CTTCATGTGTCATCAAACGATTCCTTACGAAACACGTTGAGGTGGAAATATCCCTAATAGAAATTTCTGGCCAAACTGGCCCGTATTCCGAACAATGGGGCCGGACCGTAAGGGTAAATGGTATCAAACATTTCAGTCGAAGAATAATTTTCCTCGATATACTTACGGTGTTGTGGAATGAGAACTGTGTGAAATTGGACTGCATTTCATCCAGCTCATCCACAGTAGCTAAAGGTCCGGATCGAGCAGGCGGGGGAGTCAGCTGGACTGGAGCCGAGGTGAACTCCTGGAATACAAACAGGATAACATGAATATTTCCGTAAATCACATAAAAACTCACCTTATCGAAATAGCTTGTATCCGTCTCGCTTTGGACTGATGGCTTATAAGGGGGCTCAATCTCCTTTCTATACAATTTTTCCCAATCAATAGATTTGAAAAACGGTTGCTGGCAAACTTCTAACGCGTCGTCTGGTCCACCACCCAAGCTAAAAAAGACACTTCAAATTGACAACGATTTACAAATGAAGCAGAGTTTTACAGGAACTACGACATACCGTTGCGTAGGATCTTTGAAAAGCAGTCCAGCTAATAGTTGTTTTGCTTCTGCACTAAGCTTGCTAGGGAACCGTAACTCAGACGCCATTATCAATTCAAATAACTTCTGATGATCACGAGAATAAAATGGCAATCGGCCACACATCATCTCATACATCACCACACCAACACCCCACCAATCCACACTTCGACCGTAATCATTGTCTTCGAGCACCTGCAAAGGGTAACAACTCAACAGGAGGAAAATTCGCTTGATACTTAAAGACATATAGCACGATAATTCGGTACTCGGTCTAAAATGCTAGCAGGGTGCTATATAGTGGGGAAAATGGCGAAAAAACGAAGTGAAACGGTCAAAAACCTGCGAAGAAAAGCCTTCGTTCTTAATGACTCAAAAGCAATTTCGGACGAGTTTCCCGTAGGCATCTTGCCAATAACCGCTACGGTAGATACGGCTGCATGTGTGTACTCATATATCCATGCAGCACCGCAGCCGCTTCATACCAATCCCTTCGCTTCATAATTTGCTTAGCAAATGAAGCAATACGAGCATCAGGAACGGTCGTCCATTTGTGGGGGCGGGCGTGGTGGGCGTCCGGGTCGGTATGTTGCAGCTTGATAGGGCCTTATAAGGGCACCTTCCTTGGAAAAGGCGCTACGCAGCGCCTGCTCAGGGTCGCGGAATTCCGTCCTGCCAGGCGTATTAATCCTACTCGTCTTAGGGATTTATCGTGCCAACTGCCTTCTAATGGTTTTTCATGAAGATAGCTAGGAATCCTCCTATAACCGTACTTTTTCACTCAGAGGAAGATATGAATGACTTGTCCGATAAGAAGCAATCCAATTAATTCCAGTGGTTCACCTTGCTCGCGTCCCCTCTGTCTACGTTCCAGAACACTCCTGGAGAAGCTTAGCTGTTACTCACAGCTACATGATATATAGGAAATTAAAAGTTACGATGAGTAGACATGAGTGTAATAGAGGGTAATACAGAGGGAGCTTAGGTGATAGCCGCAAGGCGCAGGGACTAGGTAACGAAGTGCATCCGAAGTGAGAGACAACATTTCAGAACGCAGGACGGAGAAAAGCATGAGCTGGATGCGTGTTCAAAGACTTGTCTTCCTCCCTTCAATCGACCCCCCCTCCCCCCACCCCCTTTATGCCCTGCGCCGAAACTTATGGAGGGGGGGGGGCGGTAGTGTGCGTATACACGTGACCTTACTCGTGCTAATGACAAGAAGCGCCCTAACGACTACGAAGCCCCTTGAAGGTAGGCAAAGCTTGCCCGGATATGCCAAGAAATCTTAGATTTTTTCCTACTGATCGAGAAATATCCTGAGGAATGAGGACAAAGATGAGGAGGGTCTGGCAATCAAAACCCCCGCAAGGTAAGGTGGCCGCAATAAGAAATGGAAGCGAACATATGATTAAGGAGCGTGGGTAGGTAACGATGTGAGCGACTATCCGTGACGAGTTATAGAAGCCGTAAGAAATACTTCATATGACCAACGATTGTGAACTGGATGAGGGCACCAGGAAACAGGAACTCATTCTGAGCTCCACCGTTCAGCAAGGTCGTCTTTAGCCTCGCTGCAAGACAGCGCCAAACTATAAGCCTCTCGCTTTCCGCCGCCCCGACCTCTTGCCATTCACCAAAAAAGGATCGCCACTTCGCAAGCAGTGTTACTATCAAACTATCTATTGAGCAAATTCGCAGGGATGATCCACAGAGTACGACCCCTTTCTGTTCCCGACGCTCAACTGCCCTTCACCATCTTCTTGCTTGCGGGATATTAATTCTTAGATATCTTCGACTTCTGGGAGATGTCGAATTCGATTCTGTCCAGTACATTCAAACATTGTTGGCGCTAAAGAAAAACCGACCAGACCTGCGTACGAGGTGCGCAGATATTCAGCGCTGTTCCACCAAAATGCTGGCTGGGCTTTCTATCGGTCCAACTCAGCTAATCCTCCTCTTTACAGAGACCGAACTCGCGTATTTTAATATGTCGCTATCCGCCCTTATCCGAGCAGTAAATTTTCCCTAGCTATAAAGAAAAAGATCTCTACTGATACAGTCGAAGTAAAAGAAAACGATAACAGGACAGGGACGAAACATTTGCAAAGCACAGAAACGACACAAAAAAAACAGAAAAGGGGAGTGAGACGAAAAAACACTCTTTCGCAAAACGGTGCTCCTCGGATTCTGCATTACGGACACGGAACATCTAAATTAGTAGGTTCAGCGTGTCGGGCTGCGCGTCTACAGTACCGCCGAAAATTGCGCGCCATGAGACTCATATTGGCGTCGAATGCTCACCAGCAGCGGACCAGGACTGAGTGGAGACCATAGTGTTCATCTTTTGGCGCTGAGGCCACTGTGATCCTGGCCCGCGGGGCCAGTGCTGACCGGTGTCGACCGGTCCCCGTGCCGCGGTGGGCCGCCCAGCCCCGGAGCTTATCCTCCAAGGCCCTATAGTGCGCTTAGTAAGGCCGCCGCGTTACACAAAAAGCCCGTTATCACACGGAGCTATTAAAGGCAAACCTCATTACTCGGTGTAATTTATATCGATTACGGTGCGCCTGCATTGCTGCCGCTTCACAACAAAACATTTTTAACTTCACGCGCAATTTTCGGGGGTACTGTACGCAGCCTGAACCTGAACTTATAATCTTGTGTACATAAACCACACCGCCCACATTTCATTACACATGAAAATTTTACTCGAAAGAGTTCAAAGTCGACGTAGCACTCGTACCGAACTTGGCCAAAATCGAGCACAAACCAATATCACTGTCTACGCACTGTCATCGGCATGGGCAGATGGGGAGAGGATAGCACTCGTACCAAGCTCGCCAATTACCCATGAACGTTGAGTGGAGAACTGGTAGTATCGATGAGTCTAAAGGTTATATTAGCAAAACATAGTAGTTAGCAAACTTGCAGCCTGCATTTTCACGAGAAGTCAATCATCATGAGCAGTCTAAAAGCGCTTGTAATGGGTACCAGTAGGTGGTGGCAGGCTTACGCGTGGTTAGCCGCGTGGACGCACATACGGAGCCGTCGGGAATTCGCTACGTCGAAACGACTCCGTGCGTGCGTTAATACGTGAAGGTCGTCTCAGCTGCGACAGACGAGCCGAGTTCGACGTATGACCGATTCCTCGCTTACCGCTCAGCAGCTCAGCCCACCGAGAAACCACCTACTGCAGCCAATACAAACTTTACCTGGCTCATAAAGTTACAGTCGTCATCCTTGCACTTGATAGTCAATGTCAGTGCGGCTGCGTGCGGCGCGGTCGTCAGCACCCGTACTGCACCAATCGTTGAACCAGGAAGTGACATTACTGTATTATATCCTTCGTGTTACTCGTTTTCTATCACTTTTTGTCGCATACGCGTTTCAACGAAAAGGCTGAGAAGGCTTCAAACAGTGTGCACGCTCCTTCTCGCCGACACGCAGACGTATCAGGCCAGATGAGCGGATTCGTAGCAGGTGATGTGGATACGTGTGGGCACCCTCACTCAAGTGGCAAGGATGATGACTGTACTTGTGTAAGTGCCAGTTTGTCAAGTTTGCATATGTATTTTGGCCAAATAACCTTTAGAAACGATCTACGAGGTCTCCATTAAAGTTCATGTAACGGTTGGCAGAATTTCCTGGTTAGCGTTCCCCGATTACTGGGATTCTCTACCTTCGCAGCTGAGAAATTTCTGTCAAAGTCTGAAGTGGAAGCGAGCAGTCCCATCTGCCCGAAGCGCTAGTGTATTAGAAGTTATTACCGGTCGCGCTCTAAGTAATGCTTCCCGAAAAAAAAAAGACTTGCGGCTCCACAAGAAGACATGGTCTCCAATACACCTTAAAGATTGATATAGGAGAGGCGGGGGGGTCTGAGCAGCGTCCCATATAAATATGAAGGGAGTGACGTTAGAGGGTCATAGCTGGGAAACTAAAAAAGAATGACGATAAATTCTCCAGCCCTATCAAAGAGCAAACTGAGAATAGAAAGAAAGTTATTTCGCTATGCTTTCGTGCACATGAAATCAGAAATTATAAGAACGCGTCCGACTAATCTACTTCGTCATGGTCAGACCTTTAGATCGCGGTAGACGATGTTGTTAGCATGAAGGTAACCAACTGCCAAAACAATTTCGGCACCATAGAAGCGAGCTCGTGGCTCCGAGAAGCCTTCCTTCGAGGTTTGTACCTCACGATTCAGATGGTAATACAGATCACCGCCAATAGCGAATTCCATCACAAAGCATAGACGATCGGCCGTTTGGAACGAATATTTCAGCTCCTATACACGATCATTGAGACATTAAGCCTAATGTTTTAGAGTTACATTTTTCGACTCTACCCATCCCTACGGACCCTTTGATCTACCATCCACTCTAGGCTTGAGGACCCACCGCCAATCCTTACGTTCAGAATCTGAATTAAAGCGCCGGCGCCAATACACCTAGTTCATTGCTCTAGTTACTATCTCCACTCCTTTTCCCTTTGCGTGTATCATCAAAATCGAACATTTCTCTAGGGCAGCGTTCAGACTTCGCAACGGCGGCGCTTCGGTCGCGCGTCCGATCGATTTTTGATCGCAATAGCGTGCGATTGCAATACGCAATAGCGTGCGTTCGCGCAAGCGTTCGACTGTGTGGCGCAACTGATTAAATCGCGCTTCAGTGCTAAAATCGACTGGACCGATGCTAATTTACAGCCGTACTCGCTGACTTCTTACTTCTTTCTCCTCTTTTTAGCTTTTAGCTCCCTCTCAATCTTTTTTTATCTTCCTGTCAGTATTTTCCTCAATGTTTTGTGGGTGTTACACTTTTTTGTAAGTAATACATTCAAATTTTCCAGATGGATGGCCGTGTTGAGTGCGCGCGCTTCCTTTATCTCTAGGTGAGTTTTTCAGGTTAACTGGGGGAGCTAGAAACTGAAAAGGGAAGAAAGAAAGAAGGGGAGAAAGTATACGGATGTGAATAAGCATCGGTCCAGTCGATTTTAGCACTGGAGCTCGATCTAATCAGTTGCGCTACACAGTCGTGCGCTTGTGCGAGCGACGCAATCGTACGCTCGAGCCATCTGATAAGTCGTACGCTAGCGCGATCGAATGCTCGAACGTGCGACCGAAGCGCCGCCGTCGCGAAGTCTAAACGCTGCTCAAGGGCGCGTTCATAATTAGCGATCCGATCGCTCGATCCAAATGCACGAACGATCTGACTGCGCAACCCAAGCAATCGGATCGCCAGCTGTGAATGCTGCCTCACTGAACCTACGTGCACCCCCAAATGTACTTATGCACATAGTAGAGAAAAAAAATCCTGTCTACAGCGCTGAAAGAACCGCAAGCTGATTAGCCGACGCTGCTCAATCCAAGTACTACTTCACCTCGCAAATTTCGTTGATTGGGTAAGCCGGGTATAGTTCAGGATACCCAAGGGACACCCAAGACATCGCGCTCAGCCGGTACTACTGGCTAGTTGACTCAACACGGCACCTTTGCGTCACATTGTGTCATGGCAGTCTACATCCTACGGGCTCTATTCGAGCCTATCTCAATAAGTAGCTGCCATGACACATTCAAATAGACGCTTGAGCGATATAATCAACCAGCTAGAAATGTAGCTTAAACGCGATGCTGCGTCGTGGGCATCCCGAAGTACACTCATGTAGGCCAGCTTTTGAGCCCATAACCTTTTTGTACATGAAAATTTGATGGTCTGGCTCTGGACTGTTCGACGCAGATTGAGTTCTAAGAAGCCGGGAAAACAGGACCCAACAACGTGCTAACCCTTTCCACCAGGATCGAGACTAGCCAACCTACAGTGACAGATTACTACTTGACAGCAGTTGTTAGGCAAGAAGCTAACTACGGACATGCACATGCAAAAATAATACCACACCACAACAGAGAATAAAAACATTAGAATATCAATAAAATCTGAATTTTGAATTATGTATCGCTGACTGTTAGCGCACCTAATGGCGCTGGGGAGAATTTTCCCCAGTACGACCTTTGCCCGGACAGAATAACACAAAACAGGTGGATTTCTGTTTCGTCAGAAGGAAAACAGGCATCTTATCAAATTGCAGAAATAGTCAGGTTGCGACGCCTAAGAAAACTTTAAGTACGTTCAAATAATACGATCACTCTCCCTCTCTCGCCACTCTCCCTTTCTCGCAGCTGAATTCGAACCCCTCTCTCTCGCACTTATGAATCCCAACGTACAGTGTGCCGAACGCAGCTCTCGGTTGTCCAGAAATCTTTCATGGGCTAATTTTTGATATAACTTTGCCTTCAAGAAGTAATATACAAAAAGAAAGCATCCCACTCATCCACTCATGACAGCAGATGACTTTCAAAGTAATTGCTATTATATTCCCTCCTCCTCCCACAGTTGATGAAGAAAACTGTCAAAGGATGAAATCAAAGGATGGGGACGGCGGCAACCAATTTGAAAGTCGTCCACTACTATTAAACTTTGCAGAATCAAGAGGATTCATCCAAAATTCCTAAACATGAGAAATTCTCGAACAATTGAGTATGATACCGAAGGGAATGTCTGAGGTTGTAAGGCTTCTTGCAGTTTCTCTTTATTTCTTCCTTTTCTCTTCTATCTATTCTTCTTATTTCATTCTTCCCCTGCACGTTTTAGGAGACTATTAATTGAGAATGCGCATTTTCATCACAGACCTAACTTATCATATGTTTCTTCGTTGTCTTTTGAGTAATCAAGAGAAACATGAAATCGGGGTGAGAAAATACCATGCATTTATTTACTCTCCTCTTATAATTTTTTTGTTAACTTTTGAACATTTGACCCGCGTTCACACCTTGGGACACAGAGAATCAGGTAATCGAAGAAAAAACAATTAGGCACTATTCACCCTTTACTGCCCATTTCCGAGATTCGGCACAGAAGATCAATTTGTCCAGAAATAGGTTCGCCGAGGTAGTCTGACCACTAAACACGAACAACACAAACGTGGCACGAAAGACTAGAGTCACACCAGGAAGGCTTCGCTGTTGACAGATATCCTGACGTTGCGCCACAAGTTAGCGCGAAGTCCTCGAGACACTAAATTGGCTGAAACCGTTCCGTAGGGGTAAACGGGCCCCCAAGGCATGAATATCACACTCACTAGCCACAAACTGCCTGCTATGTCCAGCGGATGCGCGATTAAAAGTCCCTATCTCTATACGTTTTTCGCACTGATTCTCGCTTGAATGGGAAATCAAAGAATTCTAGAATGGAAGAGATGGACGAGGCCCACTGATACAGTCTTAGTCACTGCAGATGAAGGGGCGTGTCAGCTGGATGGGTTTCGCGCTGCATCAACCCCGCCCCATCTCACACGCCCCTTCATCCGCACCGAACAAAGCTGTACATACCTCACTTTCAGCAGATCCCTTGACTCTCGGAGTTGTGTTATTTCCTCGAATCCGCGATTCCAGGATTTTCTGCTGTCGCAAGGTATAAACGCGATCATATAACTTACAAAATAGAGGTAATACAAACATATAAACGTGGAACCACGCACAGACAGAACCATAAAAATTTTAGGCTGCGTTATTACTTTATGTCAGCGTCCACCAGCGTCTTGGGCGCACGCCAGCGCTAGCGACTAGGAAAGAATACACATCGATCGAGCGGATGCGAGCGTCCACCATCGTCTTCGCGGGCAGTTTTGCTCAAGTATAAAAGTGCCCGCGAAAACGCGTGGACGCTGACGCAAAGTATGAACGCAGCCTTACTGTTTTCTATTTTAACTGAAAACCTGACAGAGCACCAGTTTTGTAGTAACGATAATAATCCATGCAATGGTTATTTCCAGACAAATCAAAACACAACAGACTCCCTGGGATAGAAGAATGGACGTACCTTCATGTCTCTATAGACAATCGAAAGACTGTGCAGATATCCAAGAGCAAGCACTATTTCCGCTCCGTAAAATCGTGAACGCGCTTCACTGAATGTACCGCTTTTCTGTAGATGAGTGAACAGCTCCCCTCCGTTGGCGAATTCCATCACGAAACACAGGTGATGCGTTGTTTGGAAACTATACGTCAGTTGCTAAAAACACACGACCACCAATAGCGATCCAGGCGATGTGAAGGAAGATGTGTTGCCGTCACGTTGATGATACAATTCAGCTTCGAACAACACGAAAAGGGTGTTTAAAGAAGCACAACACAATGTAGCTCAACTAAACTAAATCTACGGGAAAGCTCCACAAATTTGCTAACAACTAAGCAATACGGTACAGGATTTGAAAGAAATGTGACCGATTAGTATCACAAGGACGGTTCAAATCACGGTGGAAAACTTGCAGCTCAAGCTAAGCATACTGTCACGGCTCATAAGCACCAGTGGTAAAGATGCCAGGCACTCGTGACGAAGGCAATGCGCCGCCCAACGCCCCATGGTACACCCAGTGTTCAACTGTAACATCTCTTGGTACTGTGCGACGTCAGATGAGTATCTAATTGGCTTTACTTGACTATCGAGAAGAATTTACAGTAACTGGGATATTTCCCTCTGCTGCAGCGCTTCTCCAAGGTTCAAAAAAGACACATCTTTTCTTATCCAGAGCTTCGAGGCTTAAGGATTCCTATCGCAAGATGATACTACAGATACAGATCGAGTGGAACGCATCGTCACTAGCCTTTGACTCCCGGCTTAAATACCACCTGAGAAACCCAGCTAGAGAAAAGAAGCAGCTACCAATCATCGTTACTTGGTATCTTGCTTCCTAGCGAATATCCGGAGGCGGTATCGCTGCAAAAAGCACTACTAAAGGAAAGACAACCGGGGAGGGGGGGGGTGCAGTATAACTCGCGTGAAACGGGAAAACTCAGCAAACAGAAAAATCTTGTTCATCTCAAAATACGACGAAATTTTACAGAGGCCAAATACGTCCACCACTGTGTTTTACACAACGGATAAGCTGGCCTGTACCGTACCACGGTCAGAGAGTGCCGAATCTAGGACCCGCTCCCCTGGGCCAACTAACACTTTCAGAGCTCCGAGGTCGGCTCATTGACACCTGAACTGAACAGTCTGGGAGCAAAAGCGCTGACGTGAACAAGGTGTTCCAAAAATACGACCTCCCTCTCGACCTGCTCTTGTACGACCCCAATCCCTTGACCATCCTACCTACTATCTCACTGACACTTCCCTGAATCCTCCTGCTTTTAAAACGAATTTGACGTTCTTTCCCAAAAAAAAACTGCCGTAGCGTCGAGCGGGGGGCGGGGAGGGGAGGGGAGCGTCACCACCAGACAAGTTTATTGCAACTCTCGAATATAGTAATTGTATGAAACTACATTTACACGGCGCCTACATTTAGGGGGGGGGGGAGAGAAGCACATGTGAAACCGGCAGAACCGCGGAAAAATCAACAGTGGAAAAGTAAACCTGCGTCTTGAAAAAAATTTTCTTGAGGGCGATTACGCTAACTTCCTCCAACAACGCGCGCGCAAATACAACCCCCTCTCTCCCAAGCACGAGCAAACGACATTTCTCCCCTTATTGAAATTCCCCAAGTGATAAGATAGCGCGCATGAAACAGAAGAGATGAACTATCAGGTCACATACGACCGCTCTACCTCCACCGAACAAATACGACCCGCGCTGGGGACTGCCCAGAGGGCAGGTGTCCTGACTTACATTGGCTGGATAGTACCGCCTACTTCACTACCTCATTCGACAACGAAGTTGGCTCAAAGTTTACCACCGTGTTATGACCCTTGGTCTTCGAGTTTAGCAAATTGTGGACACTGCGTGTAGACAGAGCAAATTAACCAAACAAACTACGCTACGCAACACAACGCAGAATCGCGTACCATCAAATCTTATTGTTAGCACGTCTCTTTTTCATTATTCGCCCCTACCCTGGGAAACCATATGTCTCACAAAGCCCGTTAGATCTCAGCTTTCCCCACAATTTCCCCTCATGCGCAACTATGGATCAAAATTTTAAACTCAAATTAAAAACAAAATGACGTACCGTAAGGAACGGATGCTTACATCTTTGAAGGACACGATTTTCAGTTAAAGTATGGGTAACCTCCTCCTGAAAATACAATAATCTGATAGCAGACAGTAAAGCTGAGAATAAGAGGAGGAGTTGAGAAATCATACCCTTGCTATGATTACTTCCTTTTTTAATATCTTGATAGCATATAATTTAGATGTGCGTTTTTCTTTACACAGTATAACTTTTCCGAATGTTCCTTTGCCAAGTACTTTCAGGAACTCAAAATCATCCATGGTCTAAACAAATATGTTACAGATTAGCTCATAACCTGAACACTTCAGAAAAATTTACCAAAGAAAAGGGTGGGTGCGTAGCATTACTGTTGAATCGCAGCAACGCGCGATATCCTAGCTAGTTGACGCGAGAGACGACAAAGAAAGAGAGGGTCGATACGCTGCAGCGCTGCCACGTTGAGTGGATTAGGTCTCAAAGCGAACGTTGTGCTTCGCTTCTCAACGCCACGCTTATAACGCCCCTTCGACGTGATCAGCAGGGGTAACGCTACACAGGAGACGGGCAAGAGAATCGTAAGTTCGCCGCTCGCCGCGCGCGGCGATGGGCGCGGCGTTTTCTTAACTCGTGTTAACCTGTCGATTGGAGCACCGGACTTCATGTAGACCCCGTCATCGTAGACATTCATGACTATTTTCGGTTCTGAATTGCCTGTTGTCGCCATCTACTACCTGGAACCATCGTCATTTGCGGGCGCGACGTCGCACGCGACGCCCACCAGTGAATTACGATTCTCTTGCCACATACCCACGCTACACATTTAGACGAGGAAAACTACAGTTCTCACAATTTTATCTCTTTTGGCTGCTTCACTGGTGTCAGCTATGCTCATCATTTCGGTTCTGTTGAGCGCCGACGTGGAGTTCGTCGACGGCATCGACGGTTGGCCCATAATTGCATGAGCAGCAGCAGCATATTCACTAGACAATTCGTCTACTGATGCCTGAAAAATGGTCCATTAATCAATCACATCCAGTGACGAAAATTCGTTCTACTGAGCACTGAAAACAGCGCTCCATTAATCACAAATCACATCTAATAACGAAAAGCCTTCTTCTGAACAAATTGAGTTTCCCTCAACCTTCGCCTTACACAATACGATTTTTCAAGTAGGGCGCAAGTGGCTCACAAAAGAATTTAGACGTCGCAGGTCTGATGCCATTGCAATAAAGTCGGCCTGCCGACATCACACCATATAAATTGACGAGGCTCTACCTGGCAAAAGTAAGCCCAGCTTCCAAGAACAGCCGGATGCTGATTGTGGAGTTTGACGTCTCTACTTGGGCAGAATTTGGATTGAAAGCTTCGGACTTCTAGCAGCGTAATTCGACCACCTGAACTTGAAAATGCACCCGCTTGGCCCTAGACAGGGTACTGCGCCGGCCTGAAGCTACCTAGGTTACTAAATCCGCTGAAAACTTGTACATGAGGTCATTATTTAACATCTCGATTGCATATATCACATTCATTTTTGGCGCTGGCGCTGATGGAAGACGCTGTGATTATCTGCGCTCTGGTATTGCTGGCCTGACCTAAAGGAAAACACTCTTTCTCACAGGCTCAGCCTTAGAAAAGTGTTAAATGGTGCTGGAGTGAATGTCATATTCGTGATCAGGGCATCAAACAACCCCATTGTGCACGTTTTTATCAATTTTTGGTGAAAAAGGCGCGTTGGCTCAAGTCAGCCGCCAGTGCCCGTCGGGGCAGGAAAAAAACTAATCCCCGTAATTGTTATCAGGACATCAAATAAACCATACCATGGCCATATTCACAATTTTTCGGTCGGAGACGGTGGCGGCCGGTATAGATGGCGCCTATTCGATGCCAGCGCCCAAAACGAGTGCTACATTCGTGATTGGGACACCGAACTATCTCTATGGACTTTTTGGGGTAGTAATAGTTGAATAGTGCCATTTAATGGTTTTCGCGTTTCCAGCAACAATAGTTGAGCCTGATTTCAACTTCACGCATTCGAACTTCTGGTTACCAGGACGATTGTGCTTTTGATACCAGTGGCGAATAGCGATTAGATTTAGCATAGCAAAAAAAATCATGGAAACCTTAGCTTTCTGAACAGACCAAACTGTCATATCTCCCTCCTCAGCCTCAGCTCAATAACTTTTTTGACGAAAAAGGTCTGCTTTTTTCCAACAATAGTTTAGTTCGACTTCCTGCAGTGCATTATACCTGAAATAGTTCACGCTTCTGTTACAGCAGCGCAAGGCATATGTCGGCAAATCGGCTACGACCGCTCATTCAGTAACTGCGCGTCGAAATATGGTGCGAGGTTCCGTGTCTCGGACCTACTGCCCAGTGCACTCAACCTCACGCCTGAAATTCTTTTGTGAAGCCACTTGCGCGCCTACTGAATAACGCTTATTGTTCGCCTTACTCTGCCATTTTTCATTGTCGAAACAATTTTTTCAGGGAGGGAGAGAGTTCCAAAAACTTAAGCCGAAATTCTACTCGGCACACCATACTTGGTGATAGACGCGTGCCGAAAAAATCTCATCCCTAATAGCGATCGCCTGCAAAATCCAATGAAGCCAGAGAAAAATGTCTGCAGGAGCGCAACAATCGACAATATGGCCGTTCCCAACAGCTTCAACCTTTTGGCCCCATATAAGCCAGCAAAAACAAAACGTTATCCCCGCCTTCGCTAAACCGCTTCCACGGTCGTAATAGTGTACCGAAGGCGAAAAATCCAGTAGATGGCCCAATACGGGGAGGCAGGATCAACGGAACTGAATGTTCTGGGCGAGTTTTATGATGCTTATTGGAGAATAGCCCACTCGCTTGTATGACAGCAGATCACCGGCGCCCTGTTTTGCATTTTCGCTCTTTCTTGCAGTTATCTTTCGCTCTCCTTCTCTCACTATCAAGTCACCGACCACTCCCCAGCATTTTATATTTGAACTACATAACCAGTGACTGGCAATTGCGGGGGTCTTCTCAAGACGTAATCTCCGCCTTCAGTTTACCAACAACTCTCAGCAGTGATGACGTTCATGAGGCAACCCAGAAGTGAGCAGTCACATCTGCCTACCAAACAATGTTTAGATCCACTATAACTCCCTTTTATCACAGCCAAACCATTAACAGCAGAACCCTCTGCTGAAGAAATCGACGAAAGTTACCAGGGGCAAAAAGGAGCGAAAGCATTAATGTTCAATAGGAGCCCAGCGCCGATTGCAGTGGAAATTACAATAGGACGATTGCCACATGTGAAAAAGCGTCGGAGGTTCGTGTATAGCGTAGGATAAAGCTGCGCGCACGAAAGCGACCAGCATTCTGCTAGAGATCAGCTAAGCAAAGGGATTCACGCATGCACTAACAAGACAGATGCTCCGATTATATCTCATACAGAGGCCGCGAAAAAGCCGTGTTCATGTGATCTTTACATGAGACACTGAGGCCAGATGTTGATTTGCTCACCAGTTCATTCTTATCGGACCAGGATACGCCGTACGTTGGGAATCCCCGAGGGGAGGGAGAGGGTGGTATTTGCCCGATAGAGGGCATGCTTAACATTTCCTGGAGAAAATGGACATGGGCAGAAAGCCAGCTGATTGCGTTCTTAACCTTGTTTCCGGTTTCATATTTGCACGCCCATACCGCTCTAGCTCTGCGATATTGCAAAGGCAACTACACAATTGGTAGTTCCTGGGGACCGCCTCCCCCCCCCCCAAAATTCGCAAGACTCGCCGGAAAAATCTTAGCCAAGATTGTTCTGCTGCATGCGGGAGATGGGTCGTAGGAGAAAATGTGAGGCTCACGTATTTGGGAAAAATCTACGAGGCTAGGAAGCGGCCTTCATAGGGACGACGGTGAACAAGAAGCTAGGCAAGCAAAACGCTGAGTAGTCCTCGGTGAAGGCTTTTCATCCAGACTTTTACAGCTACTCATTCTAGAGAATTACTTCCATTCTATGACAACTAACCTGGCTAACAACTTCCATCATTTCTTCATGAACAGGTTGAGGTTCCTCACTCATATGTTGTCTGTAGCGATTCGCAATCAACTCAATCGCGGCGATCCATCGTTCAGGAACGGCTGGAGAATGGGAAATAAGGTATTGCGTACCCGAGGGACTGCGCAGGGATTCGCCTGATCATAATTAAAAAAATCTGGATTCATATTTCGCAACTCATCGCAATTCTCAGGTTCAGCCGCTAAAATTACATACCGCACCGCAGTTTAGTAGTCGAGCGATCGCTGAGACTAGCCAATAAAGCGATAGCTCTGTCGCTGTCACGAGCTATGAACGCAGCCAAAGGTAACTAGGAGGTTTCACTCAAGCCCATGTTCTACAAGAGCTCACCCAAGCTACAAAGTGTGCTTCCAAGCTCCAGCGGACCGGGTACTATTCGATCGAAGGTATGGTTTAAGGAAACCAGTCCAGTTTTTTAAAAGTTCCTTACGACTTTTGCTAGGGCAAAACAATGAAATTCACTTACCTCAGCTGTTTCGGCATAGAAAGTACGCTCTATGACCGTCGTCCATTGAAGGCATCGAATCATAAACATGTTGGGTCGCGGCTTTTCGTACCGGATGGCCTAGAAAATAGGGAATGACATTCGATTGCAATCTCTCTCCTTTGTCCTTTGCCTTTGTTATTCTCATATCAATAATGATGTAAGGGCTCATTTGGCTTCACGATCCGTAATCGATTATCTCTTAGTTCTAGCGTAGTTTTTGTTGAGAATGCAGTTGACTTTAGCGTCAAATATTCATGTTTATTCGGCCAACCTTAGTGCAGTTCCCTCGGCATTTCTTCAGTTGCCCTATGTGAACCTTTGAATGCAGGACGGCTCAAATGAACTGTCTGCACGGAACATCCAGTAACGGCTTTCAAACTGATGAGCGTGCAAATGATGTGTGAACAGGTGTTTTCCTTCTTATGCTGGACAATCCGGAAGCTGTTAGAAATCAAATTTGCGACGCAATTCCACTTCACGGGGGCACTAAATATTGGGTATGTGACAAGACAATCGTAATACGCGCGTTCATAGGCGTAGCGAGCGACGTTGCGCTCGACCGACGAGTTTTCTTGTCTGGCCGTTTAGACTCGAGCGTCAAAAAGACGGGGAAATTCGATATCGCCCGTTATGGAGTCTTATTTCCGCTTGAGTTCCCATGAATTTCGCTGCTTCAATCGACAAACTGGCACACATTGAGGACCTGCCGCATCTTACGCCACGCGCGACGACGCGACAGACTGCGATAGTCTTGCCCTCCTCTTCCCTAGCTATAAGTCAGCTGAGCCTGTGCAGCTCATCTTGTAAATGCATGTATAATTCTGTTACAGAGTGGCTCACTTGACCACTTCGTAACTTCAGAAGAGTTCACAAGTCACTCCCAAATAAGACCTGTTAGTTCAGGTGATCAACAAAAGGAACTAGGGGATGTGAAATGCCCCCAACAGGGTACATCGTTGTTGGGGAATCCCCAATAGGGGGAGGGGTTGTATTTGGCCGCCAGGAGAGGTGAGGCGTATTTGGGCTGGGAAAAATTTATTTCGATAATTGATTTTTCTCGCTTCACGGACGTTGTAAAAGGGGGGGGGGGATGTCGCTAGCTGGTCGTTGCTGCAGGCGGGAGTCGTATTTATGTTTTCGCGTCTGCTAGGAGCGGTGGTGTTTCTGCTCGACAGCGCAAAAATATTCGGGGGGAAAGTGGGAACTTTTCGCGGAAATTTTGCGCAAAAAAGTGAGCGAAAGTTGGGGCAAATCTGAAAAACTGGCTGAGGGGGGGTGGGAGGGAGGCGAGCGAGAGGTCGCACTTGGTCTCTGCGGCTTTTTCCTGTTTCACATCATGCTATTATTCCTCCCGCGCTCGACGGCCTCGGATCGAGCAGAAAAGGACAGGATGGCCGGCGGGGAGCGAGCTGCTACCACCCCCTCCCCCTCCCCAAAAAGGGAGATTTGTACATGACTCGACCAAAATCTCCAACCGAATGAATGCGCCCTGGCCCACCAAGTTCCGAACAGCGCCATTTTTTTGGCAAAAAAAAATGGCACAATGTGGCACATCTTTTATCCTTCGTGTATTTTACGAAAGTTCAAAGCATCCTACATTCCATGGAGATGTGCTTTTGCTTCGACCATGAATGTATTCATAACTTTTACATAAGAAATGTTACGAATTTCCCATGTCAAAGTCAGCCCAAGGTCCCTGTTCTGTTTTCTGATCACTGCTCAATGACCTCCGTAAGCACACTGTTGCCAAGCAACAACAACACACATGTGGATGATCGCTCGCATGACCTCGCGCCGTTTTCTGTTTGCCCACCGATTCTCAAAGATCATTCGCATTACACCTGCCACTAATTCTTCGCACACTTTTCGGCGATAATCAAATGACGACAAATAAATCAAAGCTCAAAGAAGTAGGACATGTACCAAAACAAAAACATATTTACCAATGTTCAAGCGCAGTTTTCTTTTTCTTTCCTGGCTAAAAGCAGTCGTAAAGAGATCATCGTAATGGCACAAGGAAAATATGTTCTTATAAGCCTCTCTTGAACTTGAAAATGTTCTTCGACAATGTTTACTAGAAGAGAGACACTCTTCTTGATAGCAATTCCTTGATAACATGTTTATGCCTTCACAGCGAGAAGCCCTTAACGACTCCATACAACAGCTTATCTTTGCAGTATAGTAATTTATTTCAATTCCAACGACTATCATGATGGGATACGGCAAAAAATTTCACTTAATAAATTTTGAGGGAGAGTCGCGTATTGCAAGTTCTACATGAAGCCAGCCGTAAATAAGTGTAATGTATTCAGGGCACGTCCGATCGTCACCTTGGTGAATTTTTGTAAAATATGATCTCTCTCAGAACCCCCCCTTCCAGTTCGCTATTTCTCATCCTACCCACCATCTTCCTGGAAATTTCCATTCTCCCAACTCCCACCTAACCTTCCGAAGCTGAGCACTCCATTTTTTCCCAGTAAACTGTCGTCGTTGGAGAGGGGGAGTATACAGTGAAAGCGCATCTGAAACATAAAGAACCGAGTAAAGCCAACAACCTAAAACAATTTCTTGAAAGCAAATACGACCCTCCCCCTGGGAATCTCCAACGTACGACGGACACCCTGAGTGTAAGCTATACGTTATATTATTTGGACTCTTAATTTTTTTAACTGAACGTTAAGAAATGTGCTAACAGTGATAATAATCCCACCCTATCATCTTAATGGCACAAAAAGCCATTGAGCTGAGAGGGAGAGGGTAAGAGCGGCACCGGTAGCGTAATGAATAACGCATCTACTCGGTAAGCGGGAGATGCGGGTTCGAGTCCCATCTGGGCCTAACTTTTGCCCATAACTCAGTACTCCTGTGAAAAAGTTTAATAAGTGTTAAGGAATGATAGTAATTGTAATAATCGCTAAAGTGATGACTCGCTGGAAAGCAATCCTCCCAAGGAACTTTCTTAAATTTTGTAAACCTCACCCTAGACTAAAAGTGTCGAGCTATACCTTTTGGC